ATTGCACTATATTTTTCTGACCTCAAGAACATTAAGGTTTAATTTAATATCATCGGCCTTGTGATCAAATTACTGCTGAATACATTAATCCACTCATAATGCCATGCTCATTATCTGCAATTATATTTATTTAAGAGTAAGCTCAGTATTAAATACAAAATAGTAGAGAGGAGAGATATACCATGAGTCAACAAGTACAGCTGAATGTGAGTCTGGTGGCCCTCAGACCCAGCTCAGGTCAATGGCCTGATGTATCCTGGTACCGCAGAACCTGAACAATGCTGGAACAATGCTGCCTGCTTGCACTCTACCATTGAGCACTCTAAGTCAGTCAAGTATCACAATGAGTAACTACCGAAACTCCTGAGCACTGCGTGGGAGCATTCATTCCTCAAAAAGTAAAATAAGATGCAAGTGCTAAAAGATATTGAATTTTGAAATCAGTATCTATATAAACTTTGACATGTTACTTAACATCTCTGAAATTATACAATGGGTAGAAATATTATAGATAAAGTGGAAGAAATATTTTATGCAAAATACATTGCAATTTTACACAATGTATCTTTAAATACATTGAAGCCTTAAATTTAATTAAAATGATGCAACACAAACAAAAGTAAAATTTTAGTAATGGTGAAGGTCAACAAGTGTTGATTGGAAAGCAAATTTCTGGAAAACATGAAGCAGATGACATCAGGACCAGGAAAAGAAAAAATAAAAGAGGAAAATAAAAGGATCTCCTAAAAGTAGCCTCAGTTGTAATTAAAGCCAGAAACTGTGAAAGAATCTGTCATGGAATTGAAAATCAGAACAGTAGCCTCCTGGTTTCAGCCCTGAGGATATAAACCTAGAACAACTTCAAAACTGTACAATAGGAATGAATATTAGTACAAAAGGCAATGAATCTGAGAGATAAGACAATATTTTTGGTCATCTTATAACTGTCGTCAAAGACAGAGTCCCTACTCATAAGTAAATAGTTTCATACTTTAATGATGCACTTCCCAAATTTTCCCCAACAGTCACATGACACACATACTCACATAAACACATACACATGTTCATCTACTAGAGCTTTCGTGACTGCAAAATATTACTATATTTAAGTATATTATGACTCATGAGAAGAGTCTCATTTGGGCAGAGTAAACATACTTCTGTCAATTTCATTTTTTTAGGTGTTCATCTACAAACAAAATCAACAGATCATAGAAACAATAGACATTTGAAGAAAAATAACTTGAAACAGGAAAATATATTTAAAGAAGGAAAATTCTGTCACCAATAAAGTATTAACATAAAAAAGAAAATATTAAGATCAGAAAAAATATCTAAGCTGTATTCAAGAGAAGAGACAATCATTTTAAAAATTTAAAAAATGCTGAAATAAAAAATCTAGAGTTAATTTTTTAAGTTTTTATTCATTTATTTTAATTTTTAATTTATTTTTACTTTTTGGAGTTGTTCACAATAATTTATTACATTCAACATTCCCAACACCAATCCCACCACCATTACACCTTCCCACCACCATTATTTTGAATATTCCCACCACCATCCAAGCCTGCTACAAAGGCAGATCCTAAATAATTTATTTTATATTGCTTACTCCGGGTAATTCAATAAAAATGATCCAAAAAGTTTCCAAAGAGAAAAGTGCCTGAAAAGTATTGTACCTCACTCTGGAGACATTAAACCCTTGTATAAGCCCTTGTATAAGAGATTACTAACATGTTGTTACAGTTTGGGTCTTGGTGCTAATATTTTTCTGATTGAGATCAGTTGCCTTCTACTTTACACCCCATAAAATGAGTCAGATAGTTAATTTTTAATGCTATAATATTAAACTAAATAAAATATTTACACAGTTGATGATTTACTTAGATATCTGAAAAATTAAGCCAAAAAATTCTCTCAAATCATCCCGCGACCACGACCATATCGACTCACCCACCAGCCCTGGTCTTCAGATACAAAAAATCAATCTCCTAGGGGATGAAAGCCAAGCTGCTAAAATTCATGGATACACTGGTCTTCCGATTGAAAACTCTGGAGTGCCCTCAGGAGCCAAGGTGTGCTGAGTCCCTGCCCTACTGAAGCCCCAACAGCCACACCCACACCCCATTGCTGCTGCCATACTAAAAGCCCAACTCCATTGCTACACTAATAATCTCTACAGAGATACCAAACTGCGAAAATACCAGGTACTCCAGTATTCAAGCTGAGAACTCTGGGGACTGCTCAGGGTGGGGAAAGGCAGTCTTCCCCACACACACTCCTGTATCTAGCAGCAATGCCCACATCCCAGAGTTTCAACCAGTTCTACAGATTCTGAAATTCCTGGAGCACATTGCTGCATATGAGGCTGTGAGACACTTCCAAACTGAACAGTACTGAAAATCCACTAGGAACCATCAAATTACATGGGAAAGTAACATAGAAGCAAATGAAAACAATAACACAGAAGGTTTAGCTAGCAGCAAACAGCTCAGTCAATCCTTAGACAAAACTTAACAACCCATGGAACATATAACAATTTCCACAACTTATTTTTACTGAATTATTTTCCATAATTTCTTTAGTAATTTAGTTGTAACAATAAAAATAAAAATAATATTTTGTGCCTGCTGAAAGGGAAGGCTTGGAGGGCGATTGGGAAAATGGGAACAATGGTAGAGTGAAGGTCACACTGGTGGTGGGATTGGTGTTGGAACACCAAAGCTCAGTGACAACTTTATTATCACCAATTATGCAAACCATTTGGTCTAAGTAAAGTATTAAAAAAATAAAAATAGTTAATGGATTTCTTACATTATCAAAAAAGAATTTCAAAGAAAAGTTCAAATTTAATGAACATTATAATATCAAATCAAGAATAATATGGCAATAAAAACAAGATCCCAACCTTTTTGTTCTGGAAGTTCAAGAAGAAAGTAGCTATAATTAGAAATTGCCAATGTTTCATTTTAAAATAGCCAACATTTTATATTGATTAAAAATAATCCTTTTCAGATAAGTAAGTACATATAGCCATCAAATACCAGATGTTAATAGGATGCATGTCCCTAAAAGCTAAAATCTGACAACCAGAAATAAGTTAACTAAATCCCGGTATAGTTATAAATGAAAATACTACATACCATTCAAAAATATCAGGCAATGTTTTATGCAATATTATGAAATCTCACTAACATAATGATGAGTCAACCAAAAAAAGTTACACGTAAAAAAAGTATATGCATTATTTTATTTATTTGTGATTTAAGAATTGGCAAAACTAATGGTGAAAGGAATAAACAAAATTCATAGCATTCAGAGGTGGATCAAACCAAGAACAGACACAGATGAGACTTCTGAAAAGTGGTTTGGAGGGTGCTTACATGGATTTATCTTTCTATTATTTTGAACTTTGCCCCAGTGGCTTGTAAAACTTAGTATTTAGTTTTCTTTTCAGTAAGAGATATTTAATTATAGATAATTTGCTTATCTCAGTAGTCTTAAAAAATTAAAACTGTTATTCTCTTACAAATAATGTCTTAGCGGGGCAAAATATTAAAACACGCACAGATATAGTAGATATAACTCCCTTAATTTAAAATCCAAGTTTTTAAATGCAGGAGCTACACAGTCAGGCTCAGTTTCCTGAAGGTGGTTACAGTTAGCTTCAGAGTAAATGTTACTCTGAAAAAACTAAAGGTGGAGAAATTAACATGTTAGTAAAAGATGTCATTTGAAACTTTTTAGGTTCAGTAAACAAACAACCTTATGTCCTACCCTCACAACGTGGTGGTTAAGATTTTGACTTTGAGCTCAGTACCAAAAGCATTATAATATAATTTGGAGAAAAAGCACAAGTCAAAACACTTCAGTATAATTTCCAGTTAGAGAAAGGCAAAAGAAAAAAGCTGTGTGAATTAGGTTAGAGATTCTTTCCAGAAGTGGAAGCAGAAATGAGACAGAACTTAATGAAGGTATTAAAATTGAACTGAATTTTGCTATTGACAGAGACAAAGGGGAATCGTCAGGGTGAGATGAGTAATATGATCTTAAAGGGGGAAATGTTGCTATGGAATGTTACAAGGACAATCCTAATATAAACCCATATAATCTAAATGGTCAGACACCAGAAGATAATAATCTTAAATCCTACCCCATGTTTTACTGGCCCATCTACTTTGAACTCAGTGAAGGATGCTCATTCACCATGCTACTAATTAAAATGATATAAAAGAGAAACGTTTCTGCCTTTATATGGAATTCTCCTTATGGAGACACCTCCCTTAACCCTAGAACATTTTTATCTTTTTTATCTTTCCTTTCTTTCCTCTCTTTTAAATAAAATCTTTTTTGAATTTTACCATTCCTTCTCTAGTCTCTTGTTTCTAATTTTAACTGTTTGAGAATAAAAGTGTTATAGTCTGCACCCACTGTGATTTAACTTGTGAACAAAAAAAAAATTGTCCTTAAATTGTTCCTGTATAAGTGTAAAGTTTAGTTTGGCTTGGGCTTTTGTATTTGGAACTATTGTTTGTCTGTTTTTTATTGTTTCAATTGTTTAGTCTTACTAGGAATTAATTTAGGAATTAGGGTAGCTACAATAAGGAAAATCTGATGTTTCTCCCAATTTCCCTGAGTAAAACATATTCTTTCTATTTAATGATTGAATGGGAACATAAGGAAAAATATACTGTTTCAATAAGTAACGAAAACAAAAGTAGCAATGAAACAAAGTCTACCTTTTGATAGAGTTCCTGAATTGAGGGAGAAAGGTCACTATTGTGGAGGACCTCTTAGATGGGGTGGACTCAGAGAAAGGGTGTGTATGGTTGGATATTTTGGTCACGCTCAACTGATTTGGTTGTCATAAAAGGAGAAAGAAACCTCAGAAAGGCCTTAGATACCCTCTTCTCTTTTCAGGAGCTGCTTCCAACAAAGAGTCTCTGATCCCTATCCACCCAAATCCTCTTAGACAGAGATAGAAGCATCAAGATCTGACCATGACTGGAAACCAGGATCAGGAGCAATTAGTTGAGCAAGAAGTGAAGAAGTTTCAGGTGGTAGTCGACCTGTACTACAAATACCGGAACAGCCTGGGTTGGGGCCTGATGACTGTTCTGACAATAGGGGCAGAGAGCATCTTCTCCAACGTTGTGTTCAAGTGTCCCTGCAATGCCACCTGGAACACATCCTATGGTATGGTCTTCCTGTTGGTGCCAACACTGGTCCTCTCCATCCTAGGCTTTATGATGAGAGGACCCAATGAGCGCCTGCTGGACTCCTGTACAAAATGTTGCTCATCTGGTTTCATGGATATTTGCCTCTTTTGCTGGAGCTTGACTTGGACTAGCCTTCTTTGGCCACTCATGTGGATAGCCATGGCACTGGTCGAGGGCACCTTCACTGAGTGTGCCAGCAGTGGGACTGTCTCAACTGCAGAAAGCCTATGCTCCAAAATCTTTGCCAGTAGCACCAAGGATTATGAGAACTGCGTTAATGAATTGCCGCTGGTGCCCTGCAACAAAGCCACGGTGTCTGAAGTGCAAGACCTCCTGAAAGTACTCAAGGCCCAATCACAGGTCAGGAACTAGGATTGGATAATGTGGGGGAGGTTTGGAGAAGGTGTCTTCTACAGGGTGGATTGGGTAAGGGAGGAATCCTTTAATTTCTCTGATCTTATGATCCAGAAGACAAATTAGATTGGCCATTGTTTTAACTGAGGCAAAAGGTAAATACTAAAATAAAACAGCAAAAAGAAGCAAAAATATTCACAGATCAGGCATCTAACTCAGCTCCAAATACACTGCTGGGTCCGTTGCCTCCTTCTACATCATACTCTTCACATCTCGTAGCCATCCTTTACTTTAGAGTAACATCAGTGAGACAAGGCAAGTTGTCTGTTGAATCAGAAGTAGGCAGAATTGCTATAGCAAACTGTGTCTGCCTAGCTCTCAAACCACCACTCCAAAAGCTTTTGTCTTTAAAAAAAAAAAAAAACAGAGTTGACGGGTTGGAGACATAGCACAGTGGGTAGGGTGTTTACCTTGCATACAGCTGACCTGGGTTCGATTCCCAGCATCCATATGGTCCCCCGAGCACCACCAAGAGTGATTCCTGAGTGCATGAGTCAGGAGTAGTAACCCCTATGCATTGGCAGGTGTGACCCTCCACTCTCCCTCCACAAAAAAAAAAGTTACTTTGTTTCATTTATTAACTGAATTCTTGTTTCACAGTTTTTGGAAATTCCAATTTTAAGTTCTGGAGGAAGGACACAGAAGCTTCATGCTTGAGTATTGATGTGGACTGAATATGACTGACTTAATCATACAAAGCTGCTGCAGAGAAATGTTCTAGTGGTCATTGCTTTTTCTTTCTAGGGATTAAGACATAAAACTATTGAAAATTCACTGCATGAGAGTAATTCAAATTTTATATCCTGATTTCTAAGTTTCTCATAACAATGTAACTAAACTGCTATTTTGATGTGTTTTCAGGTGACTGGCTGGATCCTGGTATTAGTGATTATTCTCATCTTTCTCATTAATGCTGTTGTTAAATATGTATGTCCTACTAACACTTTTAAAGAGGAGCATTTTCGTTACATCTATAAACAAAGGGAAAATGATATATTCCAAATTCAAGCCATAGAACATGCATCCAAATTAGCCAAAGAGAATGTTCAACATTTCTTCAACCAACAGTCTGAAAATTCAAGTAAAATGCATTTACCAAATACTGAAGAATGGAAGACAATTTCGTCATCCCAAACTTCTGATAAGTATTATAGCCCTCTGCACGAATATGTTGAAAAACATAAAAACGTTTCTCAAACACAATCTTAAGACTTCTGATCTTAGCTTTATAAATTTGTGTTATTTGACCACAAATGATGACTTGATATTATTAATAAATTAAAAAGAGAGATTTTGAGTTATTGTTTTATTTAAAGGGTAAATATTTTCATGGCTTGTGATTATTTGGGTAGGGGGGAAGGGTAAGAAGAGAGAGCTGCACTTGGCTGTACTCAAGGCTTTCTTTTGGCTCTGTTCAGGGATCACTTGGGTGATACTTGGAAATGTTTTATGTGGTGTCAGAGACCAAAACAATATTGGTTGTGTACAAGTCAAGAGCCTCCATCCCTGTACAATCACTAAACAATCTCACTAGCCAGTTTATGACTGATTTTTTTTAATTTGTCTTCCCAATTGTAGAAATTATTTTACAACTGAAATAAAAATTTTAAAAATTACCTCTTTATAACATTTATTATTTTTAAATTAAATAAGTTATTCATAGTAACAGATTAAAATTAGATTTACAAAATTATTGATTAGGAAATAAGAAAATCTGATCATGCAGCTCCAGTTACAAGTTTACATATGACTCTGAACTCCTTAACATGATTTCTCTTTAGATTCAGTTACCTGTGATCAACCTCAGTCTGGAAATGTTATAGTAAGATTTTGAGTGATAAAGACAACACAATCTAGTTCTAATTTTTCACTAACTTGTGGTACTTTTCACTAAACAATAATTCCACTTTAAACAAAAAATTCAGTGGCAAAAACAATGAAACAACTATTGTACATCAAACTTTTTAGGTTCACTTTCTTGAGACAACACCTTGTTTGGAATTTTAAGATATAGACTTTTTAGACTCTGATATTTGTTTACTGACTTAAATAATTTTAATAATATAAATAATTTAAGTGAGTAAATAAAATACAAAATTAGCATTTCTGATAGTACCATTCAATTTCCATTTTATTGGTTTACTTTCACTTTCTATTACACAATCTTTACAGATTAAGGCAAACTGTGATCCTTAATTATATCAGTGAGAATGCCAAAGGAGAAGAAAGAGGGGGACTACAGATAAGGACATTAGACAACGATTTTTGACAATTTGGTGATATAGATGTTAGGTAATTAAGTACACAAAAATCATTAGAGTCAATACTGTTGTAAGCACGTGACCCAAAATAAAATAAATAAATTTTTAAGATAATTTACAACAGAGGTGGGAAGACAGGAATTTCAGGTTATTTTAATTAATTTCAGGTTACATAAAATGTGTATCTATGGGGGCTGGAGCGATAGCACAGTGGGTAGGGCATTTGCCTTGCACGCGGCTGACCCAGGTTCGATTCCCAGCATCCCATATGGTCCCCTGTGCACCGCCAAGAGTAACTCCTGAATGCAGAGCCAGGAGTAACCCCTGTGTATCGCCGGGTGTGACCCAAAAAGCAAAAAATAAAATAAAATAAAATGTGTATCTATGGTCCTTCTTATGGTTCCAATTTTTTTAATTTAGAAAATGAAATTTTTTAACTAAATCTGATTTTTAAATTGTCTAAATACTATCTTGGTATTTCAGTTAATAACCAGTACTAGCACAGAGGTAGGACGTTTGCCTTGCACACAGTCAACCTGGGTTTGATTTCTCCGCCCCTCTTGGAGATCTCAGCAAGCTACCAAGAGTATCCCACCTGCACAGTAGAGCCTGGCAAGCTCCCTGTGGCTTCTTTGATATGCCAAAAGTTGTAACAACAAGTCTCATAATCAACCATCATCCTCAGGAAACATAAACATCCATTCAAAAAGACATATGCACTATAATGAATAGTGGTGTGCATGTGTCATTTTGAACGGAGGTTTATGTGTCCTGAGGATAGATACAATAAGTGAAATTTCTGGATCATATGTCAACTCAATTATCAGTTTACTGAGATATTTCTGTATTGTTTTCCATAATGGTTAAACAAGGCATCAGTCCCACCAGCAGTAGCTAAATTTCTCTTTCACCAAACCTTTTCCAACACAGATTGTTCCTAGTATTTTCCCATCTTTATTTAAACACTGTGGTTTACAAAGTTGTTCATGATGATTTGTTACAGGCCGTTCCCAGTATTTTTAGTTTGTGCCATTTTCACTTTTGTAAGATGGTATCTCATTGTCTTGGTTTGCATTTCCCTAATTATAATTGATGTCTAATAATTAGCACAGCAGTAGGGCATTTGCCTTGCAGGCAGCCAATATGGCCAACCCGACTTCGATTCCTCCGCCCCTCTCGGAGAGCCCAGCAAGCTACCGAGAGTATCTCGCCCACACGGCAGAGCCTGGCAAGCTACCAAGAGTATTTGATATGCCAAACACAGTAACAAGTGTCACAATGGAGACGTTACTGGGCCCTCTCGAGCAAATCGATGAACAATGGGAGGACTGTGACCGTGACCATCTAATAATTGATGACAAGCATTCTTTCATGGGTCAGTTGGTCATCTTTTGATCTTCTTCAGAGAAACCCCTGCTCATTTCCATTCCCGATTTTTATGGGGATTTGGATATTTTATTGTTAATATATCTGAGTACTTTAAACACCCTGGGTATCAATGCCTTATCTCACCCACACGGCGAAGCCTGGCAAGCTACCCGTGACGTATTCAATAAGCCAAACTTAGTAACAACAAGTCTCAAAATTGAGACGTTACTGGGCCCGCTTGAGCAAATTGATGAACAATGGGAGGACAGTGCTACCAAAATTATGTATTCAATGGAAATATTTTCTTCCATTTAGTTAATTATCTTTTAATTTTAACCTGTGTTTCTTTTGCTATGTGAAAAGTCTTTAATTTGATATAGTACCATTTTTTTTTATTTTGTTGCCTTTAACAATGGTATATTAGGTCCATATCTTGGAGTATTCTACCTATATTTCCCTCAACGTACTTTATGGATTTTGGCTGGATTTCAGGTTTTTAACTCTACTTTGAATTGACTTTTGTGTAAGAAGTGAGATATAAATCCAGTTTTAATTTTTTTGCATGTGGGTACCTAGTTTTTTTCAGCATTGTATGTTAAAGAGACTGTCTTTATTCTACTTCATATTCTTAGCTTCTTTTTTAAAATTAGTTGACCGTATACATGGGTGTTGTCTATGAATACATTACTCTCATCCATTGGTTTGATAATCTATCTTATTCCAATACCATGCTGTTTTGAACACTATGGATTTATATTAAATATATTTTCAAGTTAGGTAATGAGATACCAGTTTCTTATTTTTCCATAGTTTTGGCTGTTCAAGGTCTTTTATTATTCCATAAAAAGGTAAAGGTAAAGGCCCTCCCGTTGATCGTCGATTTGCTTGAGCGGGCCCAGTAACGTCTCCATTGGAGACTTTGTTGTTACTGTGTTTGGCATATCGAATACTCTCGGTAGCTTGCCGGGCTCTCCGTGAGGGGCGGAGCAATCAAACTCGGGTCGACCATGTTGGCCGCTTGTAAGGCGAACGCCCTACCCGCTGTGCTATCGCTCCAGCGATAAACTTTATTTAATAAACTTTATTTAATAAAAATAAAGTTTATTATTCCATATAAACTTTAATATCATCTGTCAAAGTCCTGGAAAGATGTTGTCTGAATTTGAATAGAGATTGCATTGAATTCATACAGTGTTTTAGGTAGGATGATCATTTTAACAGTATTGATTCTTCCACCTCAAGAACATGGTATATTTTTCCATTTCCTAAGGTGTTCTTCTATTTCTTCCTTTATTGTTTTTAAGTTTTTATGGCATATATTCTCCACCTTTTTTTTAAGTTGATTCCTAGGTACATTATGTTTTCAGACAAAATTTTGAATGGGATAGATCCTTTTTCTTTCTCTCCTCTGGCTCATTATTTCTATATAAGAATGTGGCAGAGTTTTGTGTATAGACTTTGTAGCCTGCCACTTTTCTGAATTGACTTATTGTTTCTAGATTTGTGTGTGCGTGTGTCTGTGTCTGTGTATGTATTCTTTAGGGTTCACTAAGTATGTTATCATGTGTTACTAGAGATCATTGACTTCCTCTTTTACAATTTGGGCTCTTTTATTTCCTTTGATTTCCTTTTCTTGACTTATTGCTATTTATAGGACTTCTAATACAATGTTACAAAAAATGGACATAGTAACTTTCCTTTCGTCTGATCTCAGTGGGAATGCTTCCATTATTGTTCACCATTAAGAACAATATCGGTTATTATAGATAGCCATTACCATATTGAGGAAGATTTTTTCTATCCTGTTTGCTGAGAGATTTTTTTTTTGTATTATAAATGGGCATTGGCTCTTGTCAAAAGCTTTCCTTGAATCTATTAATATATGATTTTTATCTTTCCTTTTACTGATGTGGTGTATCATGTTAATTGATTTGAATATATTAAACCATCCTTGCTTCCCTGAGATGAATCCCACTTGAAAATGGTGTATGTTTTTTGATATGCTGTTTGATGTAGTTTGCTAAGATTTTGTTGAGAATTTTTGCATTGGTGTTAATAAAGGGACTTCTCTGAAGTCCTTTTTTTGGGAAGTCTCTTTATCTGCTTTGAGTTACGGAGTAATATTATCTTAGTAGAATGTGTTAGGAAAGATTCCCTTTTCTTTGATATTTTGGAAGAGCCAAAGGATCAATGGCATTAAATCTTCTCTGAAGGTTTGAAGCAGTATTTGAAAGAGTGATTACTAGATCACCCTTGGCTGCAGAGTATAGGGAAGAGAAGGGTAGAAAAGGAAAGAAAAAGAGGATGTGAGATAAGATACACATGAAACAACAGGGAACAAAGGTCAGGAGATCCAAGTATATGAGTGGTGAAGAGTTGTATAGTTCCAAACCACTGAGTCAACAACAATAAGAACAAGAGGTCCAAACCTGAACAACCAAACTAAAATTTGTGCCTGCCAAGGTGGCAAGCTAGGTATGGATCAGAGGTGGAAGTGGGATGGAACCTGGGAACACTGGTGGAAGGACTGGGAATCATGGTGAAAGAAAGTTGACACTGATGGTGGGATTGGTGCTACAA